GTTATTTCTGTCCCTATTGATAAAATTCAAATCGAATAAGTAAAGCAGTATTTCTTCAATATTCTTGTATTCTCTACTTTTTTCTAGACCAGCGAGTTTCTGAGCTTTTGCGTTCGTGATAACTTCGGAAACATTTTCCTCGGTAAATGGAAAAAATCGTTTTCTCACAGGTGATTTTCTTAGCGTCAATGTTCATTTTTTAACAAGTAGAATCAGACAGAGTAAGTCGGTTCGAACTTGGTATAAAACCTTTGATTTTTTGCTCTAACGTAAATGTCAATTATCTTGATATATTTGCGACTTTTAAGAACTGAAAATAACAGTTACTAAATATGCCTAAGTCAGCTTGTCACGCCTGAAAAGTCAACTGCTCGCATATCTTTTCTGGATGCTATCGGATAGCGTTGCAACATGCAGCGGTTTCAAAATGAAAAGTTTTCGTGAGGAGGAGATAGGAGGGTGGCAAAAAAACAAAACAAACAGTAATTCTTTAATTCTTACGTACCTGTTCTATGTATAATATACGTCTAAGTCTGTAATCAAAGTAAATCACTTCACCGAAAGAAAGCGATCAAAATGAGACGTCGATCAAAAGAAGCCTCGCGTTTGTAATATACATAGAGCAGAGAGTCTACTTAGACGTGAAACTCGAATCGTCCCTTTTTATATGACACTGCATCGAATTCAGTAGCCGCAGATTAATACGTGATTATAGTGATTAGAGAATCCGATACTTTGTGTGTATCTTAGCGTTTGTACTTCGCTTCGTTCTACATTTCTCTGTGCTGACGTTAAATAATGATGTCTTGGTACTCTCTAGATTGACCAATGTGATTCTGTGGCTTAGCACCCCCGATCCTCGCTCGTGTCCTTACCGAGATTTCAACGAGAATGCTAGTTTCAAGGCGGCACGATTTTTCTACAATGATATATATCTTCTTTCTGCCCTGTGTTTTCAAGCTATGATATATTAATTGTGAATTTGATATAAAGTCGTAGGGCATTTAAAAACTTACGCGATAAACAAGTGCGTATCTGTACGAAAGCCAATCCGTAGAACATTAAAAATTAAGCTTGTAAGATACATTCTTTGTAAGCTCCATAGTTTTTCATCGTTAGGAGATGTAAGGATTTCTACTCTACATTAACGTGTGTTGGCAAACACAGATATCGAGACATAGTAGATCTACGAAAAAGACGAAATCTATTTAACAATGTATATTCACGTTTCTTCTTACATCCAGTTTTAAGTCCTGTATTATTAGATTATACGGACAAAAATTATCGCCTGTAATGCTTCCCATGTTTCTCATATCAGAAATTTATTCAACGAGATTAATTTCTAACAGTTGTTATTACCCACGATTGTGTTGCTTTCCTAAAAATATTTACTTGTAATACATTAAAATTGGTTTTCTTAAAATGCAGAGGATCTAGACTTTTAATTTACAAAAACAGCTTGTTTTACTTATATTTCTTCATTGCATTTTATCAATTTTACATTTTTTGATTGCAGACACTCCATAATATCAAATCGAATCTGCGTAAAACTATTTAGCATAAACAAATCGAATGTTACAACTAGTAGCAGCCAAGAAGCAATAGTAAAGAAAGTTCAGAACGCTTTGAGAATTTTGTAAAATCTATCGATGTTTTTCCGAGCCTTGGGCATACGCGTATAGTCACATTCACACGCAGTAAAAGTGAAAGTTTTGCAAAATTGTTTCCATCGATTTAATTATTTGTAATTCAAATTTATCTTGGTGAAAATTTTTCTTAGGTGTGTTTTACATGTTTCAAACTTTCAATACAAATTTGAAAATATCATTTTATAACTCTTTAGAACATTTCTTATCATAATGAATTTATTAAACGTGAACACTTGTCAGAAGTGTTGAAAAGTATATCTCTTTTCTTTGTTATATAAATTCGAAAATATTCTAAGAGTTTTCATTTTATAATTTCTAAAGAAAATATTTATAAAATTTAAGGTTTGAGACTTTTTTTTTTAATCTTCGTAAATATTTTAAATATAAAAAATCTTTTCAAATATATAAAATACGAGTTTTTTTCGTTAAAATAATTAAATGTTTTTCTGAAATGATATGTCTTACAAGAACCGAAAATGAAGTACCGGTGAAACATTTCATGATTAATTCGTACAGTTTTCGTTATTTCATTAAATAGCATTTTATATTAAAAGTTTAATGTAAACTGCGTGTCAATTGAGAGTCTACACAGCGCAGTGCGTCGTTTGATTTTCATTAGTGAGGTGTTGCCCATGAAGTTTCGTGTCTCGAGTTTAATGTTATATAAATCAGAGCACGTAATTATATTAACTAAGCATACGACTGAATAATCAATCTAAAATTATTGTAATAAAAAAGGTGATTCGTAGAATTTATATATATATATATATCCGTAAATAAAGTTTGCTGGTAAAGGACTTGCTTGCTTTATGCGACGTCGATTCGCTGTATATCTGTGGATTGTGTGTATACAGCGGGACGATATTGTATAAAACAAGTACATTGCCTGCAAGTAAATGTTATATATAATATATATATATATATCTATATTGTAACAATTGATTAAAAATCAGGGTATGTCTTAATATGTGTATGTGTAATACATTGATTCATGTACGACACACCCCGCGATTACCGAAACGTTGCGCGTCGGAACGAAATAATTACCGTATATTATAACGACGTCCGGGGCGTGATATTATATTGTAAATAAACGACGGCGTTATTTCGTTGATGCATTTTGAGCATGTGCTGCTGTAAATGTATTATTGGGGATCATAAAAGAGGGAGTGCGAAAAAAGAAAGCGGCATCGCGTATAAAGCGTCGTTTTGATTTTGAACAAAAAGAGAAAGAAGTAAAACGGCAATTTGGTATTAGATCGCCGTAGATTTCTTAATTATTATTATTGTTCCTGCCTATTTGCAATCTGTGACTGCAATATCTCGTAAACACGTCGGACCAATGTCGTTGTGAGCACTAGTTGTAAAATGTAACAGCCTCCATATCGTTGAGTACCCCCATTATTATCACTTAACAAAAAAAGGGAAAAAGATAGAGAAAGACATCGTCGTGCGCGCGCGCGCGCTTCGATATATAAGAAGTCTATTCATTTTGAGAAACTTTTTACACAGTTCATCTTCTCATTTTTTTCTTCAACATGAAAAAAAAAGAGAAAAAATGAGAACTGTGCAAAAAGAGTTAAAAAGAGCAAGTTAAAAAATGTGTTTGAGAGATTTTTTCCTGTCAAGTTAAAAATTCAATTTTTTGTTTATACAAAAATTATTGTTCACGTTTTACACGACATGCTTTATCCAAAAGATGTTTTGAACATTTTCTTATGGCGGTCAAAGGATATAAAGATGTCATTAGCATTTCTTTTGAAAGTCTGCCGTATATAGGCATTCATATAAGGATAAATATCTCTTGTTTTAAATCACATAGTGTTAGTTGTAATATATATGTTTTATAACGTGATACATACATGTGTTTAGAGAAAGTAGATTTATGGGAATTTCTACCAATATAGATTAATTTTAACTTACTTTTCATCTTCTTCTAGTTCTAAGAATTAGATAAAACGAATAAATTAAACTGAGGTCAAAGTTAATCTATATCAATCTATATTGATAGAAATGGGCCATGTCCAAAATCAATTGATCTTGACGCGAATAACGACTGATGTCTTTTTTATAACTTGCCCGTTATTACAATGATATATAAATTACTTTGTGAAGAAAATAGCCATTTATTACAGCTGAGAAAGTTTGTACAGTTGAAAATGGTCTTGTGCGACAGATGCTTGATTCTAGTATAATTCTAGACTCTTATCCGCAGAATTCTTTTTTTATACATATGATGCGCTCACATCAACAAGACTTGCAGATAAATCTCGCCAAAATGATCCCTGGTCTCAACACGATAATATAATATATTCCGGATATATCATGATTTTCAAAGAATTAGTTATTATTATTGGTGAAGCACGAAATTTTCTCAGCTGCAGCTTCTATTGAGGTTTGTAACTTTTTTTTTTAGTAGCTCGAGGCTCGGAGTTGTTACTTCAAGCAACGCGTGTACATTAAGGTGACCAATCCCTTAAGGCAGAGACATTTAAAAAAATGTTAATTATTATAATTAAATTTTAATAGATAAATATTTTTTTAATAATTGTCAACAATGCACATAAATAATATATTATATTATGAATAACTAACGACACTTAATGTGTAACATCACCTGAGATCACAACAAAAATTATGTCAAGTTATGAGATCACATTTTCTTTTAGTAAAATTGTACTTTTTGATAATTGCATTTTATAAATAATATAGGTTTCGAATAAAAAATCATAAAATTCTTTACGTATTAATTAAAAATTAATTTTACACTTAGCATTTTTGCTTATTTCATATTTATTATTTTCACATTTAAAAGAGGGATATTTTATTACATAATTATGTCCTTAATTTAGGACAAAATTTGAGATGCGATGTAAAGTGGAATGAAGAATAAAAATTTAGAGCTGTCCCTCCTAATTTGAGATGGTTGGTCACTAAGATGTACATTCATTCGCAACGGCGAGTGAATTACTATTGTCACGGTATATGTATTAAATACACTGACGATAATAACATTAACGATAACAATTACAAAATAAATGTTGCCTTTTGTCACATTGGTAAACGAGCAAGATACTAATAAATTATGTGCGATTAATAATGTAATAATCTATTGTATTATAAGTACTAATACCGCGCGATCACGCATTATGTACAACGTCGTGGAGATTATTTCGTATGATTGTAAATGATATATGTGTTGCGTTGATGTAACGCGTCCCTATATTGCAGTAGGGCTGTGAAATAAATCAACCAGACACTTCTCGCTAGTCTTGTCTTTTGTCCCTAAAAATATAATTGCGTAGTAGGAAAGTTTTATTAAACCGTTTCGTTTTCGTAGAAATGCATGCCTAAGGGACCACGATATTCTTTATTCTTATCTTAACATAGTTTACAGAGTTATAATATGTATTATATTAATCTACATTCAAATATTATTCTACACGATTAGCGCCATGTGCCTATATATTTTGATTGATATATAAATTAAAAAAACAGTATTTTAAATAAAATCTAACACAGACACATGAATAGATAAATTTCCTTAATAGTCTCAAATTCTTATCAGATCTGCATTTGGATATTTCAAAATGTCGTTGGTGATACGTTAGAGCTATTATTTTGTATTACTTTATGCAACACACTGGCCTGCGTAGAGGATGTTATCAATTCGGTCATATTGACAGAAATAGTTTTTGATGACGTATAGAAGAAATGCAGCATTAAAACAGTTGTCAACAATAGCTGCATAAGGAAAATTGTAAAACCACATAATATAATCCTATGCCCCCCTGTAAAATCAATTATTAAATATATTTATTTTGCTTGATATATTAATTATTTTATTTGTTAGATTAATTTGATTTAAATGGTTCTTCAAGTATTTTCTATACAATTGGAAAATTGTATTAAATTTAACTAGAATATATATATAGAATAGAAAGTAAATTTGTTAAGAAGTAACACAAATATTATGTAAAAAATTAATATAAAAAAACGACACTGACACAGTTTGTAAGCAAATTGTGGAAGAACATTTTTTAATAAAATAAACATAATTTGTTCAATTAACACATTTTAGTCATTTGTCTTAGAATTTATGTTTTAACATATATTATTTTATGTTATTTGCTCATTTACTTATAAATTATGTTATTTTAACAATGTTAAGAAATGTAAAATATCAATTTAACACAAAATATTCAAATAATACAATCATGTTATATTAACATTATAATATGTATCAAAATTTTAAGAACCGGTTTTTTGACCATATTTTTTAATGTGTACACACATTTTAAATACAATATGTATCTTACCTACAAGTATTGGTAGCAACGATCTTATTAAAATTCCTCCAGATAAAAATGTCACCAATATAACTAGACTCCATTGCAACCAGTTAATTTGAATTATCCACAGGAAAACTACCGGAATATAAATGCTTAAGGAATATCCATACAGACACAGAAGTTCTAAGAGTCCTGGAACGTAATACTGAAAAATATCAAAAAAAAATTACATAGCAAAATAAACAATATTTAAAAAGGATAATGTAAAGAGCAATTCAAGAGTTATCGATAAATAAAAATAAGAAGTTATTATATATAAAAAATTAGAAATATAATTAAGAGAGATAAATTCAAACTGCATACATAACATGTTTCAGCTCCTAGATTAAGCCTTCTTCAGATGTAAACAAAATCATTTTATCATAGTGAAGGTAGAATTATAAATGTATTAATGAGATGTCAGATAAGTGACTTCCCGAGAGAACAAATTCGCTGACAAGAGATTGGTAAATTCAATATTGGTAAAATTGGTCGGTAATCTATTGTGGTAGAACGTGGTGTAAAAAAAAATGGATTTCCCATTGTCTCCCATTATAGCGGATTTGATACTGCAAAAGTTAGAGAAGAGCGCAATGATATCGTTTCATAACATCCCGTTTTATTTCCGATACGTTGACGATGTGCTTACTGCAGTCTCTCCTTTCAAGGCAGAAGATCTATTTAATCAATTTAATTCTTTCCATCTTCGTCTTCAGTTTACTTTGGAAGTGGGGGGGGGGGGGCAGCACTTTAAACTTTTTGGACCTGACAATTATAAAAAACAATTAACTGATTTTTGACTGGTACCACAAACCAAGTTATTCAGGCAGATTTCTTAATTTCCTTTCTATAACCATCCGATATTACAAAATAGAGATACAATAATATCACTAATAGATAGAGCCATTTTATTATCCAACATGATTATAACACTAAAAATTTAAAAACAATTATCAATATTTTATTAGATAACGATTACCTGATTAATTTTATTTTTGATACAATTAATAAAAGAATCAATAGCCTAGGTCAGAGAAATACAAATTGCCGATGTCATCTGTCATTAATAATGATATTAATAATGATATTGATACATCTGAAGAAGGCTTAATCTAGGAGTCGAAACATGTTATGTATGCAGATGGATTAATTATATTTCTGATTTTTTATGTGTAATAACATTTTATTTTTATTTATCGATGACTCTCAAATTGCCCTTTATCTTATACTTTTTATGGTTTTGACATTGATAGTTTTATTTAATTAGTATTTATTTTTAAAAATAATATTTATAATATATACTAAAGATTTAAAGCTTAGAAAAATACTTAATAACAAACCCCAATCACTTCTTCTGCACTATATCTGTTGGTCAACTTGAGTGTACCCCATAGGCCTAATGGTACAATCCATGCATAAAGAAATATAATAGTGGCTGCATATGTCACAATATGAAAATTATATCTCCAGTGATACTTGTTAGAACTAGCAGTCTGCAAATAGTTTACCATGTTCTCACTAATCGCAATAGCAAACACCAGAGTCACACTTATCCAGAAAGGTCCATATAAATCTGGATTTGGCTTTATGTGCGTTAAAAGATAATCGCTTCTATGTGGTATCATAGAACGCTTGAGCTTCTCCAAGATGTCGTTTGTGTTGACATTAAAAAACTTTTGGTAATACTCAATTGTCCAGAAGTTGTGCTGAGCAGTATCTAAAAAATGACATACTCTCGTTTAAATCATAATAATGTACCACAATAATATATAATGATTACTTATATCGATAAAAAATGAAACTGAGAAATTCTCCAAGAAACTATACAAACCTTCGGTTTTAGCAGGCATTCCTTGTAAATCTTCTATTATGCCAATATCCACCGAGTCATTTGAAAGGTCATTAAAAGGTTGGTGAGCGGAGGTTCCGGTGCCCAGCTGTCCTTCGGAGTTGCCAGCATGACTTATCGATGAGAAATCGTGGAAAGATATAAACTGCGAATCTGTGTCTTTTGATTGACCACTATCCATGATTAAATTGCTTTTTCTTCTATATTATGGTTCCTGTCTCTCGTAAAAAAAGTATAGGAAGACAATACGACCAACGATACTTTTTTAATTAATGACTCCCGCCTCCAGATGACCAACGATACAATTGCAATAAATTGCAATAATATTATCCTTTATCAGTGATGACAGTATGACACTGATGAAAGTGATGTATGTACATTTGACGTCCTTAAAGCAAAGCTTTCAGCTCCTCCATTTTTCCCCACCCAAGTGACACAGTGTCATCACGCGTCACAACGGACAGGCGCACTCGTGCTGACTATACTGGATTCACAGATACCAACAAATACTACATGTAGTCGGAAAGACAGATTTCCTAACCTGAATAGTCGTCAACTTTAACGCTAAATATCTCGGTTCGTAGGGCAGAGCGACACTTTTTTCTGCCAGATTCTTTCGTTTCATGCAAAAACGCGACGAATAAGCCTGATATGATCGATTTTTGAGGTGAGGCAGTGATTCTGTATAATTACCTATATTATTCTATATTATTATAAAAAATTTCTTTATAATTGAAATAGTTAAAATCGATTTATTCTTTTATAGGTTAAGTTAGGTATGTATGCCTGAGAAAAGAGGGGTAAAAATAAAAATGTTTCATCGGCCCCATAATTTTGTAAATTTTATTCGAAACGTAACATGCCGATATCATGCCGATCAATTGTGTATATACGAAGTTGGGTTAGTTAGAAGACATGCCAGTATTTTAATAGTGCCCAAGTATGGTACACAATATAAAGTTAATGCTTTTTCGAATTCTCAAAAAGTCTTTGCCAACAGAAAGATAGGTAGGCACGGGGTTTGCAGATGGACTTGTGTGACAAGATTTTTATCCGATGATGCAAAGTCTAAAAATAAGTCTGAAACAAAACTAGCTGAGGAAGTTCAGCAGAGAATAATCGAATTAAATGAAGAGAAATTAGGTAAATTAAAAGAGAGAGTATTAGACATAGAACCAGTTATTTCTGACGAGAAGAAGGAAGGACAGGCAGCAAAATTTGTTGAAAAACAGTCTACAGAATCCAAAGAACCATCAAAAGATGATGTCATCTCAAAGAAAGGTATATCAATATAGACCGATTTAAGTTCAAAATATTAATCTTCTGATTTGTAGCAAAAAAGAAAGTCAGAGTTGACAAATCAACGTCTTCTTTGGAACGTAATTTTATTACACCTGTGAGGGCTATGGCAGATTTTTTGTTAAAGCCTTCTGATTTAGAGAGCTTGCCAAAAACAAAAAGACGTTCCCCATATGAACTTGAACCACCTATCACAGTTTATTGGAGGAAAGATGTCGAGGCTAAGTAAGAGAACTGATTCGATAAAAATTTCTATATACTTATGCTTTAAAAATTATTTAATTAAATGATTTAAAGTTTTTTTCTTTTTTCATAGAGCTTTAGAAGTCTGGGGATCTAGAGAAGCTTTGTTAAAAGAACTTTTGAAGAAAGAAGTTGAACGGAAGATCTATCAGCAAAGTAAATATTATATGTACATCTTCATATATATACTTTTATCAATTTACTTAATTTAAAGTACTTGTTCCTATAAAAGAGAACATTTCATCAAGACAGAGAATATCTGTGCTTAGAAAATATCCATCTTACAGGATTATTCACATATTCTTAGTCTAATAGGAGTATCCTATAATAATAAAATAAAATTAATTGGTACAAAGATTGAAATACAAGCTTTTCGTCATAGATGTTTTTACGGTCAAACGGAGATTGAGAGATTACAGACGGGAAATTGGCAGCAAGACGGAAATAATTCAAAAGGAAGGTCTTTTTGGAAGATCTGGTAAAGTAGTGTTGACTGCAATTGCTATGTACGTACTGCATTTATTGTACTGTGTATCATATAATTGTGTAGATTTGCTCAATTAATTTCTTCTTTTCCAGAAATGCTAGTAATTTTTTGTGCAAGTTAGTTGCTTGGTTATACACTGGCTCACACAGTATGTTTTCCGAGTGTGTACATTCTGCAGCAGATACTTGTAATCAATTGATTCTAGCATATGGCATTCATAAATCGGTGCAGGTAAATAAATAATTAACGCGAATAATTTTAAAATTTCTATCAAGTTCAATTTTATTTATACAAATTATTTTGCAGAATCCTAATCCCGATCATCCATATGGTTATACGAACATGAAGTACGTTTCCTCATTGATATCGGGTGTGGGAATCTTTTGCGTCGGTACAGGTCTTTCCATCTATCATGGAATTCATGGTCTTCTTTTTCCTGCGCCATTAGATACACTGTTCTGGGCATATTTTGTCTTGGGTGGATCTTTGCTATCTGAAGGAGCGACTTTAATGATAGCATTACACTCTATAAAGAGAGGCGCAGAGGAAAAAAAAGAAAGTCTTAAACAGTTTGTTCTGGAAGGACAAGATCCGTCTGTGAATGTTGTGCTCATGGAAGACTTTGCAGCTGTAAGTTGTTATTCTTCTTATTTTTTGTTAAATCTGTTAATTAAGCATTTAAAAAGATTTTCTATGTCATTATTAGGTGCTTGGAGTCATTGTTGCAGCTGGATGTATGGGCTTGACCTCATATTTAGAAAATCCAATGTTTGACGCTATCGGTTCACTTCTGGTTGGCGGTCTGCTCGGTGGAGTGGCGTCTTTTATAATCTACTCAAACGTTGCTGCACTTGTAGGAAGGAGTATCTCGCAAGAGAATCTTGATAAAATTAATGCTGAATTAGAAGCAGATATAATGGTAATACTAATTTTAAAAAACCAACTCGATATTTTAAATTCGTTGATTTTTACGTTTGTATACGTTTTAGGTTCGTGCGATTCATGATGTGAAAGGCATTGACATGGGTAATAATTTAGTAAGATATAAAGCCGAACTGGATTTTGATGGACGAGAACTCACAAGATCTTATTTAGATAAACATGATCTTATTGCAATGTTGGAGGTATAGATTTTATATTCTTATTTTTATTTTGAAAGATAAGATATTATATTAATAAACATCAAATATTTTTTTGTAGGAAGTGAAAAGTATGCAAAATATTGATGAATTAGAAGCATTTTTATTAAAACATGGTGAAAATATCGTAGATATGCTTGGTGGAGAAATTGATAGAATCGAATTAAAATTAAAGGTAAACAAATATGTTTTGTATGTAATATAATAATAGTATATATTAAAAATAAATAAATAATAAAGCTCTCGAAGTCAAAATAATAATAAAGGTAAAGTAAAGGACAAATACGCGAAAGTCGGTAATAAATAACAATTAAAAAAGAACTTACATGTAAAATTACAATTTAAAATTAGAATATAATTAAATAAATTTTGATACATTATATGTAAACACTTTTTCATATCAAAATTTATTTAATTATATTCTAATTTTAAATTGTAATTTTACATATAAGTTCTTTTAATTGCTATTTATTACCGATTCTCGTTTACCCTTTACTTTATCTTTATTGTTATAGTATATATTATAGTAGCTTTTTGTTGTACACTATGTGAATATTTAAAATAATAATTAAAAATTTTTTATACGATTTCATCTTCTCATGATTTTCAGAAAAATCATCCAGAAATACGGCATTGTGATTTAGAAATTCTATAAAGACTTATTGATATATAGATTCTCAATTTAAATCTAAGTAAAAGTGGATGTAAATTATTATTTTGATGTAAGGAATTGTTTTAATAGAATTATTTGGACATATGCTTCTATTATAGGAAACAACTTGTGTTTTATTTACTACCACAGAGAGAAAAAAGAATTTTTGTAAAGATTTTATGTATGTTGTACAGATCTTGTAGAATTACCATTCAGTATAATAAATCAGGGACTTCTTAAACATATAGGTATTGTTACAAATGTCTTATTTATTTCTAAAATGTTGTAATTTATGTGTGTACACTCTTTAAATTCTTTGGAATCTTATTCATAAAGAGTGAATATCATTCAAGAGATTTTAACTGTCGGTCGGATATCTTGAGTTTGGGTAATGGTAATGCTAACGTCAGTGCTATTTTATATTTTCTTATAAAAAAGAATGATGGCTAAATCGCATATGTTAAAATATAAATTTTTATTCTGTATATTTTATTTGATTCGTTTTGAATGAGTTAAAACGAAACTAAATATGCAAATGTATACTGAACTGGTCGCTATCGAACTTAATATCACAACAAAGCGTTACTATGGGTACCTTGTGATCCTAAATACAGACTTAAGTCTGTGGTGTACACGAACAACACTCTGTGGTGCGAAGTTAAACTAATAGTTTTATATATTGTACAAATACTTTAAAGTTGAAAAGAAAAATTCATATGGATTTATATACGCGTTTGAAATTAATTGCGAGATGGTCGCGAATCGACCGTAGGACAACTGAACGATTAATTTATGCTTTAATTGCGTATTAAAATGACACGCGGAAGTCGAACCTCTCGAAGATCTGCAGCGATCGGTAATCAACAGCGGAATGATACCGAGGATGAAGTTTCTGTTCGCAGTGTGGAGAACGATAACTACGTGAAACACGGTAGCACGCTGTCACAGAAACGATGGACCACCCCGGAAGAGTCGAACCGACCTTACGAACGAAAAATCAAATCAGTCAGTATTATTTATATACAGGGCAAAAAGTAATTCAAAAATTGTTCAAAGTATCTAGATATAATTAACTGTAAATTATTTGTAATTTGGTAATAATTACAAATTGCAACTATATTGCAATATTTCTACATATGTAATTAGTATTCAATATTCAAAAATGAATGAATGATTAATTCACTCTGGCAGTGTACATGTTATTTTATTCATCGGTAGCGCAACATTGTATTGATCTAATCAACAATTAATTTAATAAATTATTAGCATTTTATTTGTGTCAATTATTTATTATTTACCGGGCTGAGAAGCACTAGGTAATTATGTAAATTTAATCCTCAATTAGTTATTGGATTTTTTTCTAAAAAATTAATCGTATTTAATATAGAAAGATGAAAATAAAGAAACTGAAGAAATAAATTGTTGAAGATGTATATTTTAATTAAAAACATGTCAAAATATTATCGTAAAAATATATTTATTTCTGCAAGTAAAATTACGTTATAATTAGAAAAAGTGCGATTGCTATCGGTTTTTTACGCAACCTGATGATGCTAGGTAGAAAAAAGTTGAACACTTAACTTTTTCTTTTTCTATACATCGAGTCTCTTCCCGATTTTTAAAAATTTTGCGCAATTTTCAAACGTTCTGAGTATGCCATATCTCGTAACTGAGGGTTAAAAAATTATAATTGAACTTAATTATTTAATATCTTAGAATTTTCCTCGAGGACAAAATAATACTGAAGACACGGAGACCGAATCATCGGATGTTAAAAGCAATAATAAGTCACGCAAAGCCGAATTACACTCGACTCGTGGAAAACCGGGTTATTTAGACATTCACGTGAACGAAGAAAGAATTACATCGGGATCTCTTGGGAAAAAGAGGAAACATAGTAAACGGACTGAAAGACGAAAGTTTGAAACACGGCCTCGCACAGCAGAGACCTTTCATGATCATAATCGAGTAGATATCGGATCTTCTGTGAAACGCTACAGTGACAGGGAAGGTAGTGTCACTGATAAATCGCGAAGAAGAAAAAGACACATTTCCCGAGGTAAAAAAAGAATCCTTTAAAAACATCATAAGAATCAAACTAAAAAAAGAGAGCTGATAAAAATCTATTAGAGAATCTATTAAAGAATATATCTGCATTAGAGAAATTTCAACATTTACGAGGAATAAAAATAAAATCTATAACATAAATTTAATAATTTTTCACGCAAAGAGGACGACGAGGTACCTATCACTGAGATCTTGAAAAAGGCTCAAGAAAATGCGCGCACAAAATACGAAGAACCTGTGCCACTTTCGGAATTGACTACGGACACAATTTATATTCAAGGCAGAAGCGGCTTTAGCGCCGTGAAAATTGGTGGATCGAGACGTGCTTTGGGAAATGATACGACACATGCAACAAAAGATAGAGGAGGCTGCGTTTCTGCAGAGACTCGAACTTATACGCTCATAAAGGTAGCAATCACAGCGCAAAAATTTTGGAAATGCACAGGCCTCGTTTATCAGGGTCTCTTGGGCGGTATGGCATTTCTGCATTTTATAATGGTAAACCATTCTTTCTCAACTACCAGTGTTCGTTAATTTAAACATAGATTTTATGGATATAAATTTAAAAAAAAAAAGCTATCTGATTTATGATTGCAGGTTCATGTCTTTTTTAACACTTCAATGGAATTCATATCGAATTATTCAATCTTCTCCGAAATATATACGAATATATTCTCATTCTTAGTTGCTCTTTGCATCATCTCCATCTTCGATAAGTATGTTCGACATTTAAAAAAGAAGATTCGCCATAATTTTACCTTTAAGGCTCCTGTTCATTTATCACCACTAGCTCAAATTACAATATCAGAAAGCGAGAAAATATACAGCCTTGTGCAAAAGTATTAGGCACCCTTATTATTATTATGGTTATATTCGACATGCATTCTTAGAATTTATTCTTTTGTCAGTTATTCATTAGATGGTATATTTACTCTAAAATGTGAACACAGATATGGTTTCAATGAAGTAATAAATGATAGAGGGATTAATTGAGATTTTTTGTATTTTTCCAATTAAGTATTATTCTATTATCGGTGTTCGTAGTGAAAATATACAGTCAGTTTTACATCATGACAAGTATTATGACACTTTTTGACCAAAAATAGAATAATTTTTTTCAATTCTCTTAATTTATTCACATTAGTTTAATTTCTATTTATAATTTTTATAGTGTATTTACTGATATTATGATCTAAGCTAATAGTGGTGAGTGAACAGAAACCTTAAATATCGTTAATTTCATAGAAGATATATCGATGGTTTTAGATTCGATCTGGCGCGGCTTGATACGGAACACTTACGCGAGATTTACACGGATCACGCGAAAACGGCGATCGCTGTTCCGCTTTACCTGGTAACGTTTGGACTTCATCAAGCATCGTCAAAGATGGACGATCAGTTAGCTCTAATACATTATCAAAGCATCAACGAAACATGGTCAAATGTAAGAATATAATGACGATTTAATAGATTAACAGCGAAGAAACGTGCGTAAGATTTTTTATGTAGCTTATGTACGTTTTTTTGTTTTTATTAGAATACGACGCAGGAAACTTTCCTGGAGGAGTTGAATGGCTGGCAGAAAATAACGATAACGAAGGACCTTCTCGCGATTTTCGCTTGGCTATTCGTCGCTCTCGGAACGCGGGATAACATGCTATTGACGTATCTCGAATCGATGGTGCAATACGCGAGCAACGCGGAATCCCCGAGATGACATTCGAAGAATGACTTTCACTGTCAAACGAAACAAATGTGTATGAAGTTCTTTCATGCGCAGACTGACTGCTATAAAGTATTGAAGATAGGAATATTTTAGAAAATAATTATTCAATCTTCTTTATATAAATACTTACCCCGATGCATATCGATTCGATCCTATCCAAACATAACATGTCACGATAACGTCCAAATAACGTTAAAATGAAATTGATTAAAAAATACTTTTAGTATATAATCGTGGTATTTTTGTAATCATTTTGACATTATTTTGATGTTATAATGACATGTGTTTGTTTAGATATTCCATGTATAAAAAATACACTGATATTTTCACTAACCAATGCTTCAAAGGAAAGCAAATACGATTTAAACATTTATTTGTAACAGAATAGCGTTTGATATGTACAATATGTATAAAGTTCGCCTAGACGCTAATCGATAATACATGTATACATAATAGCAAAGAGAGGACAATAATATTAAGATTAAAACCCGCTAAACAGAAACTAACAGTAACGCGCGCGCGCGTTACATCAATATTATAACTTCCCTCTCAACAATATAAGTGTAATATGATACTTTATAATACGATATTTTACAGATTGCATCAACATATTGGTTAGTATGTTAGATAGGCTTCTTTACCAAGCATGTGTGGTCGATCAATTACATTTATAAAATGTAATTAGTTGATCAATACGTTGATGTAACACTTAATACATAACAGTTACATTATTGATTAGGAAGTTATAACATTGATGTTATATTTAGTCTGTATTTAGCAAAGATAACATATGATCCAATGATACAGTAGTAAAATATGTTTGGACTTTTTCTCGTGCGAGGACATCGGTGGAATCTGCAATTGCAAGATTTTGATCATCAAACGATCGGCCGTTGTGATCGCGAAATAAATGTGTATCAAAATTCATACCGCGTGGGACACAATGGAGGGGGGGGGGAGGGGCTATCGATCGGTGGGAAAATTTTTGTAGCTTACAATTGTCGATTCGAGCGGCGCGCTCTCGTTTTTTAACGCGGACGAAGGTATTTATCCATAAATAATGTGCAAAGGCTTGTACTCATTTACGAAGCAACGGATATATACATGCTGCTTGTGTGTGAAATTTGTTACACGCTAAAGTCTCTCTCTTTTCCCTCTTCTCCGCTGGTTCCTCTTTAATTAACAATTTACACTGTCACGACGTTCTTTTTTTTTTTTTACGTGTACTCTAAAATATCTCTGAGCTTAACAATATCATGAAGGCACTGTTTGCAGTTCTATCAAGTCGATTTTCGCCTTGTCTACGCTGCACCGGATACAGATCGATCCGTCATCGTGTTTACGGTAGGTGCATGAATTCGTTCAATCATATTTATTCAACGACGCAGTGCGTGCGAGCCAAGATGAAAAAAAAGACATGTTAACTAAACTCGATGACGTGCGATCCAACCGTAGGAAAATTGACATCACTCGATCAGATCTTTTTGTCAGACCGCGAGAAAAGTCAGACGTGGTCATGTGGCTTCCATAACGCGCAAGTTTCATTTTTGTCATGGCTTTTACAACGGCGCAATCGGTATACTTGAATCGCGATTGAAAATTGTGCAAATTTGCAATGGCAGTATCGAGTCAGCGCCTTCGCGCGTGCAAAATTTCGTCGAGTTTGTAAAATATTACGTTCGACAAAGGAGATTAGACTTTGTGTATCCAGATAACCAAAGTGCAATATGCTAGTAGTTGCCAGCAAGTTCAGTCATGATTTTAAAGCAAATTTCTATCCATTGTATCCTCTTTAGTTTAATTTCTGCCATTACGATTTACCATAATGTAATAACGGAAATGCATCAGAAATGGAGCATACCTTGTCATTATGATGTCGTAATTCAGCAAACAAGCTGATGTTATTTGTCGTTATTTTGATACAAAATAATATTTGACCAGAATAACGACAAATAAGCTTGTTTGCTGGGAATGCAAGGTACTATACTCATTTTTCAATATATTTCTACCGATATTAGAAAAACAATAAACTATTTCGGCTGTTTTTTTTTGCTAGTGATCTACTAACATAATATGCAACACACAATTTGCGATACATTCTCTTGGTAGATTTGGCTATCTGGATAATTAACGTTAATGGACCGACGATGCACTATAAAAAAGGATTCAGGTTCGTTTTTATTCGGGAGAAAATACCACAGAAAATATTCAAACACCATTGACAACGAGAACTACAGTTTTGGCTAGTCGTGAGTCGCGCAACCGATCGGTTGCGCCGATCGCGAAAGGCCTTAGATACATACTCGAGATAATTATACTGGTCCTGCAAATGTGCCCACGCATGCTTGTTTATTAAAAGTGTGTTCATATCTTTGTAATTTCTTGCGTGGGAACGCTGCTTGAAAAGGCACTAAAGCCGGATTTAAAACCTGTTGGCATTGCTGCGAGCTTATGAAAATTCTGAAACGATACAATAAAGACGGTACCATTGCGAAATAAATCATTACGAAGGCACGAACAAAGTCGATCGATTTCAGAAGCGATTTTCGTGATACGTTTCAGTGTTTTCTTTCATTTCTTTGTAATAGCACCGTCTTTGAAAGGATCTATTTAATATCGTTGGTAATGCAGACGAGTCTTAAACCCAACTCCGTTGCACAAGTGTTCAATGATCAGAAGCACCTTTTGCTTTCAGACCGCAAGACGTCGGAACGATTTTTACAATTTATTGGTTTTTACCTTTGAACTTTTGCTTCCCTCTTTGATTGTCCGTAATCACGTAATTTGCGCAAAGTTCGCGGGAAGCGAGGCAACGATCGACGGAGACTGCGCCGTTTCTTTATCGTTACCTCTATTTTCACTTGTTGATACCTTTCTGAACACGTTAGGGGAAGAGAGTGATGAACGAGAGCCCGCGGTTGAGGATGGTTCCCTTTCATCTGTACGATCCCGCGGCTGTAATCGCGCATCCTCCCGCCCCTACTCCGACGATCAAACGGTCTCCGGATTGTTCTGCATGTATCTGCACCACGACTGGCCGTTGTTGTTGCCCTCGGGGCATTGAAGCAATTCTCAGTCGTCAAAGTCGTGCCTGAGCTTTATATAAAGGCAGGAGCCGAGAACGATGCCGAAGAGCTCGAGGACAGATAGACCGAGCCCGACAGCGCCCAGGATTATCAGGTGGTCTTTCGTCGTCTCCAGGAACTTGTAAATGCAGCCCTAAAATAACAGATATGTATATTTATCAATCTTGTGTAAAAATTATGTACTTCTGATGAAAAAGCTTATTTATTCGCGTCGATATTTATTTTGAAAAATTATAGTTCTTAGTCATATTAGACGCATTTTATTTTTTATAATTATTAAGTAAAAGGTATCAAATTTACATTGTATTATCCACCTACTTATCATTGTTGTAACCGAATAAAAACAAAGGTCTATTCTTTATCGTTGTACTAAACTGTACTAAAATATGTTTTCGCTTTCAAATATGTTTCTATTTTTTACTTTAAATACAATTTCATATTATAGTTCAGTTATAAAAAATCTTACAATATCGTACTTAGGAAAAGATTTATACTTTCTTTCTTTCTTTCTAAGAAAATAAATTGAATTCAAGTATAAGCTAATGTCACATCTCTGATATATAATCAGCCAAGGAAAGCAGAAAAATTCAAAGTCGCAGCAGACATACCGTGTACTGAATATTGGAGGGATGATCCCTTTTCCCACAAAGTAACGTCGGTGTCTTGCAGCAGCTGTCAGGTACGACGCTGCCGTTCTTGAGGACCTCCTCATCCTTATGCCACTCGCTCACGAGCCAGTCCTCGAATCTCAAGGCACCGCAGCATTTGAACTGCAAATTTCAATAATAGTGTCTCTTACGACAATATCGGGAAGGCTGAAGAAAAGTAGGCGAGTAGTTCCCGCGTGCCATGCATCCGTTATGTAAATATATTTCTCTCAGCCATCTTTACTGAAGAAAATTTTAATTACTCCGTGAAAAAGGAAAGAAAGAACTTTATAATTAAAAATTTTGTAACTTTTAATTAAAATAAATTGAAAATTCATTAAAAAATATATAAAAATATGATACTTTCGACTACACACAGTACCATATTTCTTATATTAATAACGAATCTTTTATAAATGATTATGTACCAAAGGAGAAACTGACAAGTTTTCGTCTACATTGGAGTCCGTTTTGTTAATTGTAAAGACACAGAGAGGTCCATCTTTCTTATTCTCCAATTCCGTTTACGACGTGTGCAATAAAGTATACGCGGATAAGACAGAAAGGGGGGAACGATGATAGCGGCGATAGCAACGATAATAGCCGCGGCGTACGATACTAACGATAGCAGGACGCGTTATACACCGGAGCATCGTGCAGTCATTGAGAAAGGAGGGTCAGAGGGAGCTAAGGGAGGATGGAGGGGAGTAGATTAATGGAGGTGAGAAACGTGTTCCGGCGGCGGCAGCAAGTTAAATGGTAACTTTAATGCGGGCACGTAATCCCGCGGGATTCATCGCGCGCCGGAACCATTAGTCGCGATAAACACTTCTACGGATCCTTTACACGTGCAGGCGTTACGGTCAACGAATTTTGCCTTCCTTCTTGAACACGCATAATTCGGGCGTCCCATCATCGTCTTAGAAATGCTAGGATTAATCTAGATTAGGCTATGCAATTGTTAAATTATTATACCCAATTTGAGTTATTTTTTTTATATTTCCATAAACAGTCACGGTCTCTACTCAATATGTCATTAATTTAATTAAAACAATGGTGTTAAATAATTTAACTCAATATATAATATGTATAATATTAATTTAGTTCAAATTTACTATATTTATTAAGTGTATATGTTAATATGATCACATTGTTTACTTTAAATTTACTAAGTAATTCAACCACATGTAATGTAGGTTGAATTACTTAGTAATTAAAAAGTGGATTAAATACCTATATTTAATTATGTATTTTGAATTAAAATAATACATTAAAATAAAATGTTGTTTAATTTAAGAAATTTATTTAAATTTTTAACCCTTTAAGCAAGCAGACATTTTTCCAATGCGTGCATATTTTTTTATACGAGTTATGTTATTTTGGTTTCTTAAAATGAATTCATGTGCTTTTTAATTAATATAAATTAAACGCAGTCTATAAGCACCAGTAACTGCAACACAGATTTTGATGTCAGCACCAGTAGTAATATGGTTCATATCAATAAGAAAATCATTCGACTTCAGCCATGACTGTGAGATAAAATCTAAATTAAAGAGAATATAGAAAGAACGTAGAGATAAATTTTTAGTGAATATTCCACGTGAGAGATATATCAAAAAGATTTTCGTGCGCATTCGTCACAGTACCGGTGTATACGAGACATTTATTTCCGTTCGCAGAGTCGCCTTAAAAATTCCCGACGAGCGCTGTCGCGGTAAAACTCGATTTCCCGAACGGAATGAAATGCTTGTACACGTAGATCCTCTGTGTATAAATAAAATGCGAATCCTGAATTTCTCGCTTGCCCGACAGTTTCGCCAATTTCGGCGGACGGAAGGAGGTTTAATGTCGTCGTGCATTCCGCGTGAAGAAATGGAAACGAAAATCTCCTCGGTCACGTGGCCAATGAGATCCGACAGAAGGGTGAAAATTGCAAGGCTTGATTTATCAGGATAATGGGTATAGTGGGAGCGACTTAGCTGCCGCGCCATTATCACAGTGCCGTAAATCCCATCACGTGTACGCATTACAAGTCCGATTCAAATCAAGATGCTGCACTCGGCGCAAAGTGGATCGAGAGACAACACGCACGCGATTAATGCTCTATTAATGCTACGCGACGGAAACGTTCCTTCAAAACAGGCAATATACACGTGATCGGCGTAATCCCATATACTACCGCACTCTCCCTACCCGTCGAATTAATCCTGCAAATATAACGAGCAGCTAGCTTAATCCTACGATTAACAACTTCGACTATTAAACGCGTAAATTCTCGTTTAGATTCTTGCGAGACGCGTAAGTGCATTCGGAAGAGAGATGACGCGCAGAGTGACGACATTGTGCTCGAAAGTATGAGACGAAACCGCAAAGTTTTTCGCTGCGAGTTCACTGTGGCACTAATCGATTTATAGCGAATGGGCGGGAAACTGTTCCGCGATGCGATAACGATGATTTACTATTGTAAGGTTCTCGTAAGAGAGTACCATTCGTCGGCGGAGGACATAAATAAAAGTGCCCTGCTCGCGTGATATCATGGGCACAAAAGCCGCCGCCGCCGCCACCGAAGCCATTTCGAGCTGCATTCGTAAATTAACGTCGAGTAATTCTGAGATGACGCGGGTGTGGCTTTCTTCCAATCAAGGAAACGCGGAAGAGCCATGTGGTGTTGGAGCTGTTGTTATCATCGTAAAAAGTATATCAATTTAAAATGAATTATACAATTAAAGGAATATTTTTGCAAAAGTTTCTCAAGTATTAGATATAAGAATTGTTAGGATATCGGTCGCTATTAATAGCGCCTCTATACAAATATCTATCATTGTATTAGGTTGGAATAAGTTTGTAGTACTATAATACTTTATTTTTATTACGTTTACATGTTTTTAAAAAAATTTGGCAATCACTTGATAAAGTGTTGATTTTAAGAATAGGTTTACTGTTTTTTTTTTTATTGCATTACGATTATTTTTAAGAGAGTTATGATTAATCAAAGTCAAAATGCTCCTTTTATTTAATCCATGATAAGTCAGTAACAAAAAATAAAAAACAACTTTATATGAAACACATTAAGTTTTCACGCGTTAGAAAGTTGAAAATTTTCTAAAGTTTTTTTGGACACGTGACAGACAAAGTGAAAGGAAAATTTCTCATTTTGTTCAGTTTGTAGTTTTCTATATGTTAAAATAATGCTCAAACTCAAAGAAATTGATTAAACTTACCAGATGTAGTGACCTTCGAAAAGTAGAGATTTTAAGCAAAATACATTTTGTAAACTTAAATTTCGTTAATTTTTTACAAAGTTGCTTGAATTTTGAATTTTGCAGCGCTATGAACTTTTGTTCCATCCCATTACATACGTATTATTTTGTTTCGTTTGTATACCGCTTCTTCCCTTTTACGTATAACGGACTAATCCCTCGGTATATCTATCTCTTCATAAACTCTAATTCTCATCAAGGAAGAATCGCGAATTGGCCATAATTATTCATGATTAAAAGGGTGTTCGCCGATCCTGGAACATCCTCCATTTGCGAGCGACGATCGTATTACATATTGACAAGCCATACGAAACGTTTTCAGCAAACACTCAACGCCGGTATCATATTGCGTATTTCTGATGGCACCGCAACGATGAAGCACCATTGAAGCTGCGCAAAAACGTAACTTGGGGGAGGTCCACAGCGCACAGAGACGCAACGGGAATAAAAATGACAACAAGGGAGGAAATTGATACCGCGGGGACTGCATGCACGGTATTCGTGATATCGGAATACTGGTCCTATTTTGTTCACAATTGTTCGATGGATGACTCTTCAAGCGCAAACGGCCGTGTACATGTACCATATATATATATATATATATACAAACAAAAAAATATATACATATACATATATTATGTATACCGGATCAGCCGGAGAGGTAAATAAGAAATTCTTCCCGATACACGGGAGATCGTACTTACTTCTTTCTGCATTTGGTCGATGGCCGCAGTTTCTCGAGATCGCACGGCATAGTTCTCGAGGAAGGTGCGATTCAAATTCATCTTCAATTCAGGGCCAACTTGTTCCTCATACAGACGTGCCAGGGCACCGACTCCGGCCTCCAGAACGAGCACCGCCATCACCACGAAGATGTACTGTGTCGGCAAAAGAAAGACGAAAGAGATTAGGACAACATCGGAACAGTCTTCCTGCAATCACGCGATTATAACTCAACATTTAACGCCTTTATCTAATGAAAGGAGTAACGATAAAAGAGCAACGAATGCCTCTCCGTCTAACTGAATGGGAATTTCGATAAAAACTGTCGAATGAATTCTATCGTTGAAAAAAAGAACAAGAAAATAGAACGGCTTTTAATAATAAGGAAAAAATAATTGACTTATCACCAAATAAATGAACATTCGCTTTATGTCCGAAAATATAATTCTTTGAAATGACGTTATATATGAAAGAATGATTTCTAACGCGCACTCTTTACGTGATAAAGCCCGAGATTGAATCTGTCAATTCTACCGTTATATTTTCACACAGAGAAGCTTCACACGTTATACAACGGTATTTATTTTTCGTGCTGTTGTTCTCTCTTCTCGTAGCTTTTTTTTCACGCCAAATCATTGATTCGCCTGATTCAAAATACGAATATCTCTGATATACGCAGTTCTCTATTGAAAAATGTACCTTTCGCGTGAAAATGGCGTATTTTGCGAATAAAGTTTGAAACAAAAACAAAATATATAAATATATAAATAAATAAATATATATATATATATATATATAGAGAGAGAGAGAGAGAGAGAGAGAGAAAGAGAGAGGCAGGTTCCAAAACGTACGATGTTTAATACCGTGCTTTCGCGTAATTTGTAATACGGATTTACGTGGAGCAAAGCCGCTGGAATATACGCAGAGTCACCTCGTTCTTTCGGAGTCATCGTCCTTCATCTCTCTCTCTCTCTCTCTCTCCCTTGTAAAAGCTAGCGCAACATATTAAAATTGCGTAATGTCCACCGAAGCTTTTCAGACTTTTCATGAATATAAACCCCTGCCGAGGGACGGAGCGCGCGCCATGGCAATCCCCCTTTCCTATGAATATTCAAATCTTGGTGACTAACTATCGCTCGTTCGTACTTTCGCAAGATTTTGCGACCCGGAAGAGAGGCGAATGTATACTAAGAAACACGTGAGAGAGGGGACTTTTTTTTATTTAATAATACGAACAGTTATTAATTCTGTTCTATACGGAGTGGCTTATGCGTTGCGTCATCGCGCTTAGCTTATCGGAAACTTAGTCGAATCGCGAGAGAGCAGAGTGTGCATTAGATGGATGAAATATTGGTCGATGTACGGAGAAGAGGAAGTGCATGAAGGAGAAAAGGGGAGCCGCATTGCCAGCTAATTTGTGATCGATTCTCAACTACGCTGGGAATTAAGCCGCATCGCACTAGTAAACGATGCTTTTGCGCAGACATTTAGTATTCCTGCGGCTTAATACAAGTGATGAAAATGGTAAATGGTATCGCAGAAACTAAAAGATTGATGGGAGCTTGCTAAAACTCATGATTTAAACATTTTAAGAGGATATGTTCACCCTGACAAATCTTTTAAGATCGTTGCATATATAGCACGATTGTATCGCATTTCATAAAATATTTCAATTTCTGCACAATTAAATTATTCGAAAGCAATTTATATTATTAAATTTATGTCATGATGTAAAAAAAATTTGAATCAATTGGAATTATTTTTAATCATTTCTAGTTGCCACTACAGAATATTAATATATCGTTAATTTAACTATAAAATAGAATTTAATAATTTAACTACACTATTAGATATTAAAAGAGAGATTACTTTTTCAGAGCTGTGTGTGTGTGTATCTAATTAAATTTTTTAATATTTAGCAAAACCATCCTTTTCGTGTGTATAAAAGAAAACAAATTATGTAATTTACGCGTTACAAAATTTTTTGAGAAAGCTTTTGGAACATAAAAGAGTCAGAAGATAAGTTTAGTTTAATTATAATCAGAATAAACCAACATAAAGATATACACCGCGTTTGCGGACAATCGCGCTCATCTCGACCTTAAAACTGATTAACAACGTGCTCTTTCAGTCTCTCAATTAGATTGGGATGCACAAGTTAAACGTATATGCGAGAAATTAGAGCAGCCAAGAGTAAGTAAGCCGGTGACGATCGATCAGATTTCCGCGTAAACGCACGCAGTCCAGACGCAGAGTAAAATGTGGAGTTTGCGATGCAATAACGTATGATAATTCGTAATATACGTATCAGATTGCCCGCGAGCAAGCGAGCGACGCGAGATAAACGTTCTACGTCGACTTTCATCTTCGTGTAGTTGTTAGTCAGTATCCGTTTCGGTCATTAAGTCGAAGCACAGGGGGCAAGCAGAGATGAACACACGCGGATCGAAACGCGCGCTTCCGCTTCCTTCGGCATGCATCAGCCGTTACTCGGAACTCCCGAGTGCGTTGAGAGTAACATTGAGAGGTTGCGACATCCGCTGCCGATCTCAATGTATATCTATAAGTGTACGTACATCATATTAGTACCTAAGTCAATAAATCGCACGGGATGTCCTATATGGCGGAAACAATGCGGAGAGGGTAGGAATGGCAATCGACAGTTTGCGATTGGTGAGGAGGCTGACAGTGAAGGGGAGAGACGATAGATTAAACGCACCAATTGCTTTTCCACTATATAGCTGTGTGTGTGTGTGTGTAATAAAAGAAAAACATGCGCGCACACACACATGATTTTGACCAGGAGACGGAAGCCGGTTGAACGTTCTCGAATAATAGTTCGAGACCGATGCTCTTGTCGCGGGAGCACTGGAAAACGTGCAACCTCGACTATCAAGTAAAGCTTGTTGAAACACAAATCGGAATTCAAAGTGCAAGCCTGGACACAATAATCCATAGGGAAAAGAGAAATAGCCAACGTGTACACGGCAGCGCATGCGGCAGAATAAAAAAAAAAAAAAAACTTTAAAGTATATGTACAGGACTTTATTAATGCCCTAAGTAATATTGTCTATATTTAACGTTATAAAAACTTTTAAAACATACTTTTTAAACTATAATATAGAATAGACACGATTTTTTAAAGAACTTTCTTATAATGAAAAAGCGTAATGTAGATTATGGAAAAAAGACTTTTATGTTACTCTTTCTATAAATCTTGTTTAAATCAGCCAGAAAATGATAGTTTCCTCTTTCTTTAGCATATAATATCCACAATATTTTAGAATTGCAGCGAATGCTGAAACTTGCAATAAATTTAGTTAATGTTTTTAATCTTCTGAGCATGAATAGTATCCCATTGTATTCGTCGTTATGCACAGTGCAGCAAGATAAACTTCGTCTTGAGATTACCGTCGCGAGACATTGAGAATGGAGTTTAAGCCGGTCATGGTTCTTGGACTTAACACGAACCTGTGATGGAAACAAGAGCAAGTACCGGAGTCAGCAAATACCGCCGCATGGAGAAGACAGATCATGAATGCACGAATGAGTACTATATATTTGATGAAATGCCAATTACAACTATTGCTGTAATGGGAACTTTAACATAAAATAACTCACTATCGAGTGATATCTTAATAATTATATACGTTAACGAGATTTAAACATTTATTATTAAATTTATTGATCTTTAGGAGGCAAGGGTCTATTTTTTAAATCTTACAGTTTTTCCTTGAATTAGTCAAATTTATTATAATTTATTATTTTATTGTATTTCTTGTCTCGAAATATGACATTGTTACGATACCATTATAGTGATTCACCTATTCTGTGAAGATTAAAAAGAAATTAAAATATTTGCTATTGTATTCAATAGTAAAGTTACTACTTTAGCAAAATATCGCGTGGCTAGATATATTAACCTTCCAAAACTGACACTGGGCTACATAAGATCCATTTAACTTATGTTAATTAAAGGACACTATAATTAATTTCGAGAAACTCGTGCAGAAAATAAGAATAATCTAAATTTGCAGATGTGACATAAAGAAAATTGAATTATTTGACATTTTTAACAAAGAGATTTATGTTTAAGTGGGTTCAATAAAAATCATCAGGTCCAGAGGATTAAAATACAATATCTAGCTGTAAAAAATGTTAAGAAATAAATATATAATTTAAAAGCCAAGCATTAAACAAAAAATTCTATACATTCATAGAAAATCATATTTTGAATATTCACTTTATCCGTGAATTCTAGATCAGAATCCTGAGAAAATGCATGAGCCGACAAACAAAATCGATCGCAAAAAATAAGACTGGGCAGACCATGTATTATGTACGTATAACTTTCTCCATGTACGTACTCATGAAGTCTTTCCTCTCCTCCGTCGAGTCGCCAACTCGTGTTCATTATGTGGATTTACCTACCCAACACCGGTAAAAATCTTAATTGAGCACCATATAAGGTCTCGGCTAATGAGACGGTTCGCTCGTGCCATCCGTGTATAGATAGTGAAAGGGAGCAGGAAAGTCGAGGCAAAAGGTTGCCGAGGCAAGAAGGCCACCTCCCTGGAAGGCTTTCTTGCCTCGAGGATCGCCGATAGTTTATCGCTGCTACGGTGGATTAAGCTCGTTACTTCGTCGTTATTAGGCAACAAGCACTTCCGGATCACGAAGAGGAACGATGATAATATCGACAATACGTATAGAAAAATATCCAGTAACGAATAGTATACACTGTTAATTAAAAATGCGGTAATGACATAATAGTAAATTGACGTTTTGCTTAAAGGCAAATTATATATTAGTAGATGTAATGGATAAGATCATCGAGTAGAAGCCATGCGTATGATAATTGGAAAGTAGAGGAATGAGTCGCCGATTGGATGAAGACATCTTGCATTGATTGTCGATAGTTTCCCCAGAAACAACAACGTAGGTTGTTATTTTATGATTATGAAGGCATAAGAGAGGATTTTACGAAAGTAACTATTACCACGAGTTTCTAGCTGTTTAGAGAGAAACTATATAGCGGTCCATTCGCTACAACGGTATCAGAGTTTACCAAACAACGAGCTAGCTGTAAGATAAAAAGCGATATAATGTAACAAATGTATGTTGTTAAAGGTACTATTTTACCATTAGTATTTCG